AATGGAGGAATTACATCTGCTTCATCTTAAACACAGAATTACTACAAGCTAAAACAATCTGAAATATTTCAAAATGAGTAGAACAGAAGAGTGTGAAATTCACCACATGTAAAAATAATATTAATTTTTGAAACAATGTAAATATTTATTACCCTGATTTGTTGACATGTGTGGTATTGAATCACTCTAATGCATCCCACAAAGATTTACAAACATTGTATCTCATTTTTGATAAAAATTTAAAGTCTCAACAACAGACTAAGTCAAGAGAAGAAAGAATATGTGAACTTGAAGGCAAGTCTTTTGAAATATACCAATCAAATGAAAAAGAAAAGAAAATACAACCTCTCAGATATCTGGGGCACCATTAAATGAACAAATATTTCAATTATTGGAGCTCCTATAGGTAAACAAAAAGGGATAGAAAAAAGGATTATTCAATGGAATAATTGCCATAAACTTCCATAATAATGGGAAAGAGATATGAACATCCAAGCATAGGAAGCCCATAGGATTGACCCCCAAATAGACATGACCAAAAAAGATCCTCACCACCACCTGTTACAGTAAAATGTCAAAACTACAAGACAAAAAGAGCATTCCAAATCCCTCAAAAGAAAAATACCAAGTCACATTTAAGAGAAACTGCCACTGGACCAACAGCAGCTTTATTAGCAGAAACCTTACAGTTAAGGAGGGAATTGAATAATATATTCCAAATTCTGGAAGCAAATAACTGACAAACCAGAATACTATGTCCAGCAAGGAGTCAGAAATGAAGGAGAAATAAGGGCTTTTCAAGACTGAGGTATTTCATTGCTACCAGACTGGCCTTACAAAAAAAATACTTAAGTGAATCCTTCATCCAAGAATTAAAAGAAATACCGTCAGTATAAAACCCACTGAAAAGCAAATGCACAAGAGAAAAACAGAAATGAATCAAACCTTATTTATGATTAACAAAGATGAACAAGAAAGGAAGAATACAACAAAATTTATTCAAAATAAACAAAATTACCAAAGTTATCAAGGTCATCAATAATTTGAATGGAAATGGATTAAGTTCCCCAATTAAATAATACAGACTGGCTTTCTATAAGAAACTCAATTCACCCATGAAAATGCATACAGTGAAAAAAAGTGGAAAAAGATAATATGAAAATAGAAGCCAAAAGGTAGTAGGAGTCACAAACTTATATCAGATAAAAATAAGATATATAGACAAAAATTTTAAAAAGAAAATGAAGGTCACTAAGTCATGATCAAGGGATCAATTCAATAAGGAGATATAACAATATATTCACCTACTGCTGGAGCCCCCGATTTGTTGAACACTTTTAGAACGAAAGGGAGAGATAGGCCCCAATACAATAATTATAGAAGTCAATATCTGACTTCCATCAATGAAAAAATCATTGAGACAAAAATCAGTAGGGAAGCATAAGAGTTAAACTATAATATAAAACCAAATGTGCCTTCTAGACATTTACAGAACATTTCATCCAACAACTGCAGAATATGCATTATTTTCATCAGCGCATGGAGCATTCTCTAAAATAGACCATATATTAGGCCACAAAACAAGTATCAACAAATTAAAACTATCAAAATAATATCATATTCTTTTCTGACCACAATGGAACAAAACTAGAAATAAGCAAAAGAAACTTTAGAAATTATACAAATCCATGGAGACCGATATATTACTGAATGACCAATGAGTTACTGAAGAAATAAAAAAGGATATTAATTTTTTTCTGAAGCAAATGAAAATGGAAAAGCAACAAATAAAAACTTACAAAATAAAGCAAACATAGTACTAAGAAGGAAGTTTACAGCAATAAATACCTACATCAAAAATACAGAAAGGTTTCAAATAAACACCCTAATGATACCAAAAAGAAACAAAACAAAAATTTCAAGAAGGGATGAAATAACAAAAATCAGGGAAGAAATAAAGACTAAAAAAAATATAAAGGATCGATTAAGCAAAGAGTGATTTTTAAAAAATAAATAAATATTAACAAACAAATCAGGCATAGAATGAACATACCTCTACAAAAAGTTGTATGTCACAAACAGTCAATGTCTGTCAAGCTGAATGCGGGAAAGCTGAAACTTCCTCTGGAGCAAAACAAGGACATCCAGTCTCACCTCCCTGATCCAGAATATGAGTGGAAGTCTTAACCGGAACAGTTAGGCAAAGAAATAAGTAAAAGGCATCCAAAGAGGAAGGCAAAAGCAACATCATCCCCCTGTGCAGAGGACATGATTCTATAGATGGAAAACTTTGACTCCACCAAAAGACCATTAGAACTGATAAATTACGTAAACGCGTAGGACACAAAAATGATGTACAAAAATTGGTAGCATTTTTACATACCAATACTAATATTTCTGAGAAAGAAATCATTAAAGTAACTGCTCACAATATTTATAAATTTACCCAATGGAATATTAAGCTGCAAAAATATTATTTCCCATCTTTGCAACAAAACAGAAAGAACTGTAAGACAATACGTCAAGTGAAATAAGTCAGACACACAGACATGAATACTGCAAGTTCTTTCCCATATGTAGATGTCTTAAAAAGTTGATTGGACTATAGAAAAGTGATTATGAGATGGTAAGTAAAATAAGAGGTTCAGAGGCTGGTTAGATAATGAGTACAAAGCACAATGAGAAAGTAACAAGATCTAGTGTTCTACAGAACAGTGGGGTGACTGCAGTTCACAAAACCTCTTTTATATTTTGTGAATAGCTACAAGAAAGGAGCTCACAGGCTCTCAACACTAAGTGATGATAAAGAGATGAGAACTTTAATTATCCCTGTCTGATAAGTACACATTATATGTATATATTGAAATACCACACTGTACCTCATAAATATGTACAACTATTACACAATAATCAAAGATTTTAAAAATGCTTAAGGGCATGGAAATGAAAAATACCCTGAGTTCATCATTGCACATTTTATACATGTAAATAATTTTCAAACCATAGCCCATAAACATATAATTAAAATAATAATAAACTTTAAGATAAGGTATTAAGGAGAAAAGGATTTTTATCTTGAGTTTTTATTAGAAATGTTGCTCTGCTGATACTGGATTTGCATATTACTCTCAAAAAAGTAATTGAAACTGATTTTATTTTCCTTATAAGTGACTTTGGGCCATTTGCTTATTCTTTCTGTTTTGCTTTGTCCGCTTTCTAACACATTTTCCTTATTTCTAGTATTTGATAGAATCACCAATATTAGGCTCAAGAGTTGAGAGTTTCAGATAAATGATTCCCAGATGAGTGGTGGGTCCTTTGAAAAAGGTATGTTAATCATTATTTCTCTACTCTAAAATATAGAGAAGACAAGGAAGGCACAACAATGCTTTATTTTCAATTTTCAGAATAATATTAATAACACAGTAACAAAAAATAAAAAGGTACGATAAGATCAAGTTTATTGTCTTCATTTTTAAATGTTCTTCAGGGATTCTGTGTACAAAAATACTATTGCATATTTATTAAAATTATTTGACTTCTTATATGTCTACTAACTGCTCTTTGATCCCTATCACCACTTTATTTTGTTTTCCAGTCTAGGTGTTTCTTTTTTTAAATAAAATTTTTTGGGGATATATTCATTATACAGAGGGGGGATTCATAGTAACAATTCTGATTAGTCTTATATTGTACATTATTTACATTGCCCCCATCATTTCTCCTCATCAGTCCCCTCACCACCCCACTTAAAGCAATTGCAAGAGGTTTTTTTAGTTCATATAGGTGTATGAAGGTCATCAACCATATACCATCACCTTAATCTCAGTTTAGGTGTTTCTATCTTCAATGTCCTAATGAAATTTTAAGCAGAATCTCTTCTCACTTAGCTAAAATGTAATTCATCATATAATTCCTTGATATTATTTTGTCTTTTATAAAATTATATTCCCAAATCAGATCAAGTTTTTGATAAATTGTGTATTTTAATCATTTCCCTTCTCTCAAGTTTTGAGTTTCTTATGTGAAAAAAAAATTATCTAGACTTGACATTGTTTCCATTGTCAGCAGACAGAAACCTCTAAGACAGCTATAAAAACTTACTGTCAACTTGCACTTTGAATTTTAACACACTAAGAAATTATCTTTTTTAAGATTTTCAAAGGTACCAGAATCAAATATACATGTATATTAGATCTCACCACAATTATTAACAGTGAGGAAGCTTGGTGTCCTAAGTAAATTGTGACTAGAGAACCATAATTAGAACTAGCTTCTCTCTTCTAAACTCTAACCTTATTCATTTCTCTTCATCCCACACAGCAAACTGGCTTCTCTCATGTGGTTCATACTTCCCTTAGAATCTTCTGTGGAAGTGTTAGAAGTACTGGGGATTAAACTCAGGGCATCATGTTTGCTAGGCTGATGCTCTACCACTTGAGCTACTCTGACAGCCTTCATACTTCTCTTTCCAAATTCTTATATTAGAAAAAGACCACCATCTTTGATGTCAAGTTTACAAGTCCTCAGGTAAACTGCAAACTGTTTTGACTGGAGAATAATTATGGTCTGAGTGTGAGCACAGAACCCAAACTGAATTAATTCATCACCGGGCCAGAGAGCAGGGTCATATATAAATAATTTCTTCCATTCAATCACATGAGAAAATTAGGCATGTATTGGAGGACAGGTGCCAAACAGAGTTTTCTTCAGCAGAGACACTGGTAGCATATTTTGTTGGAAACATGGCTGAAAAATTTGGGAAACAAAAATCCCACATTTATATTCTCTGTCCAGACTTACTCTGATACACATATTAATACATATTTCAAAAACTCAGAATCATTTCAATCACATTCTTGCTAGAAACGGAAAGGTTAAACAATATACTCTTTAGAGCTTCATCTATTCATGTTGCCAGCTAGACCAGTTCAGCTCCATAGATCACCAAGTCGTCCTAGCTGTTGGCTGCAATGCTCAAGGTTGAAAAAAACTTGTATTCATGAACCCTGATTGAAGTGGACAAAGAAGGCATGCATCAGCAAACTCCATATTCTCTCTTGTATTTGCTTGGTCCTAATACCATAAATGATGGGGTTTAAGGTGGGTGGGATGATCAGATACAAGTCAGCTAACAGCACTTGAGTGTGCAAGGGCACTGTATCCTGCCCTAGCCAGGCTACATAGATGGATGCCATCCCAGGTAGATAATACAGTGCCATGATCCCGACATGGGAGCCACATGTGCCTAATGCCTTCCACTGAGCATTCTTTGAGGAGAGACCAAATACTGCCCTGAGAATCAAGACATAGGAAGCAGTAATAAAGGCCACATCAGCGCCCACAATGATGGATGAACAAAGCAAACTGTAGAGATTGCTGGGCATGGGGTCAGCACATGCTAACTTAGCCACAGCCATGTGTTCACAGTAGGAATGGGGAACCACATTCGAGCCACAGAAAGGCAGATGTCTTAACATCCAGCTTAGTGGAGTCATGAACATGACAGCTCTGCTGGTGATGGTCACACACATTCCCAGCATAACTTGAGGTGTGAGAATTCTGCTGTAATGTAGGGGCTTGCAGATGGCCACATAGCGGTCAAAAGCCATGGCCAGCAGCAGCCCTGTCTCCACAGCTGTGGCTGCATGGACAAAATACATCTGAGTGAAACAAGCGTTAAAGCTGATGGAGCTGTCTCCTGAGCAGAAGATGCTCACCATCTTGGGTACCACAGAGGAGGCCATAATAATGTCTACAGCAGCCAGAACACACAAGAAGTAGTACATGGGCTCGTGGAGAGTAGAATCCATCCAGATTACAGTCATGATGAGGGTGTTTCCTAACAATGCCATTGTGTACATGGTACTCAGAGATAGAGCCAGCCAAAGATATGAAGACTGCAGTCCTGGAATTCCCACAAGGAAGAAGGTGGCAGGGAATTCCATTGTATGGTTGTAGGTTGGTTCCATCATCACAAGTGAGACTGCTTTCTTGTTTGTGATGTAAGAAAGAATGTAGTCCTGTAAAATTTGCTCCCGATGGTATTGATAAATTGTGGGGTTACTGACATCTTGGTGGTGATATCAGAATCGGGAAATCAACATATGATAAAGCTGCCCCATCTTCCATTCTAGCCAGATTCTTTGCCTTGCTAATTTCTGTTCATTTTTCAGTGATCAGCAGTTCAGTTTCCTTCTTTGGGAAGTCTTTACTTTATCTCCTCCCCCATTCTGTGTTTAGGCATGGTTACTCTCTTCTGAATTTTCACGGAATCTCCCAGATTGCCCGATGAAGAATCTAAATTGATAATTCCAGTAGTGTACCTATGACTTGGTATGCACTCAAGTGTGTATCTCTTGTCTGTGACATTATCCCAAGTATGTGATCCTGCTCTGTGGTGCATAAAGAGATGTGATGAGATTTGTAAAAGTGTTAAGCATGATGCTTGGTACACAGGTAAAGTATAAAATGTATAAAGTATAGCCAATAAAAATGAGACTGTTTTCCATGCTAAGTACTATAGTTATAGATTGTTCCAAATAGCATGCTTAAATGATCAAATGTAACTGAGAGGGGAAAAAAGAATCACCAGAACCTGCATTGCATGACTTTATCTTGTACTTCCATGATCTACCACTGAAGATGTTTCAGCCAGTGGGATTATACAAGATTCTTCTAATCATGTCCCTTCAATTTATTTCCTAGGGATCTGAGCACTGATTACCTCCACATTCAGCTGCCAGCAGCAGCCTTGAGCTGAGTCCTCAGGAGTTTTCTAAAAGCCAGATTTCTGTACTTGATTGAAAGCTGTATTATTTATTGAAACAAAACAACTAAAACAAAACTGCTAAGAATATTAAATGCTATATAATGGGACAAATAGAATCAGGGAGATTAAGAACCTTCCCAGTGCCTGGCCACTGGGTAAAGTACCTTCAGTTATAAATCAGAACAGAGGAAAACTTATCAAGTAGAGTGGGAACAAGTAAAAATTATCTAGATATCCCTCACATTGCATGCTACAGATTCAAGGTTGAGCATCACTGCCTATAGATTTGAAGAGCAGTATAAAGCTCTGGAATGCCTACTGCCCTCCTCACCACTGACCTAGCATCTTCTTTTCCTGGCTGCCCTACATAATCTCACCTTTCTTCTGAAAGCAGCCTCCACTTACACCCTACCCAATCCTTTCTCTCTCCAGCCCTGTCAACCTGGCCTCATCATACCTTTCATGATCTTTAGAGTATTTTCTTTCTCTCTCTCTCTTCACCTATTTTTCTTCTTGATCAGCACTACTAGTGGTTTGTATGTCTTTTACATCTTTTCAAACAACACAACATTTAGTTCTGTTATCTCTTCTTTAAAGTCTTTATTTTTACTCAACCTATTCCTACTAAAAAATTTCTTGTTAAGATCAATAGTAACAAAATCAAAGTTTTGTTGTCGGTCCAGTAACTTCCTTCAATATCACTACCTGCTCCCTGATATTTTGGTTAATTCTTTGACTGACATATAACACACACTGTAAGATGGAGAAATATAATTTTCATAGCAAAATAAATTGCAATGTGAACACATAAACATACGTACACACACAGGTCAAGATTCAGACACAATGGCTTCCTGGTTGTTGAAGTTCGTTCTTTTCGGAAAAGTCTGCCAAACTCTCTTGAGACAGTTCCAGTCCTGCACCAGCCTCTGCCTTCAGTCCTACACAGACACATGAAGACTTGGAGAATCAATCACTGGAAACTTGCTAAGTCACTTAACACAAATAATTATATCACAAGATGTGTGAAGGTATATCATTCCCATTAAAAGGATGAAAAATTCATAACTCAAATTAAAATTATCTAAGAAGGAAAAGTACTACCACATGTTCTATTTGAATGGAAATTTTGTATTTGTAATAACCCTATGCCACTACCTGAGTTCCTCCCCTCTCTAAACACATTCCCTATCAGCCTTTTGCTTAGTATTAAGTCATATATTCCTCTTAGTCCTGTAATCTGTTTCTCTGACATCTGACATCCCAAGGTTGGACTTACCCCTTCTGGCTATTTTGAACTGAAATAGTCCTATGATCCTGTGCCTTCTCCCACTTCCTTCATCTTTCCACCATTTCCGGTAGAATCTCTTGGTATCAGCAGTATCCTGAGACCTTTTAGAGTCGGGTGGAGGACTCGAGTTCACTTTTATGGGGTGACTCTGTCCTAGAGACTTCATCAACTCAATCCCCAATCTCAGATCAGTTACCCATATCCCAGAATTTTCTCTGAACCTCTATGCCTATGGTCCATTTTTCTTTCACTCAATAAAAAGGACCCTTCAGGAGGTAGAGAAGGTTGAAGATAACAATAGGGAGTCATGGTGAGTATTGTCCTTTACAGAGACCTCCCTCAAGAAGCCCTCCTTCCCCATGAGAAACTATCATCCTGCCTTTTCCCTGGACACCTCACTTCCCTTGTCCTCTCCCATCATCCAAACACTGTGACTCCAGAGACTGGTTTTTCTCTGTGCTCTATCTCTGGGGCTTTCCAGATTGCAATAGGAAGCTGAAGCCTAGTGAGAGAACAGTCTTTGTTTCTTCAAGTCCTTAGAGTATAGATGAATGTTGGATTAATAATACAGAGTACATCCTAAAAGGAAAACAAAAGGTTTGTTTGGTTAGAATTGTGACAATTTTTGTGTGCCAGGCACCCTAATAGATGCTTCTCAAAAATTATCTCATTCAACTCTCAACCCTGTAGCCTAGCTGCCACATTATGTCTACATTTTATAGATAAATATGAAGTGTAGAAGGTCACAAAGCTGATAAGTCACAGAAACAAAAGTTAGATTCTGTTCATCAGTGCACTGCATTTTTTTTTCATTTTTCTTTTATTATTCATATGTGCATACAAGGCTTGGTTCATTTCTCCCCCCCCGCCCCCACCCCCTCCCTTACCACCCACTCCGCCCCCTCCCTCCCCCCCCAATACCCAGCAGAAACTATTTTGCCCTTATTTCTAATTTTGTTGTAGAGAGAGTATAAGCAATAATAGGAAGGAACAAGGGGTTTTGCTGGTTGAGATAAGGATAGCTATACAGGGCATTGACTCACATTGATTTCCTGTGCATGTGTGCTACCTTCTAGGTTAATTCTTTTTAATCTAACCTTTTCTCTAGTACCTGTTCCCCTTTTTCCTATTGGCCTCAGTTGCTTTAAGGTATCTGCTTTAGTTTCTCTGCGTTAAGGGCAACAAATGCTAGCTAGTTTTTTAGGTGTCTTACCTATCCTCACCCCTTACTTGTGTGCTCTCGCTTTTATCATGTTCTACAACTATTCACATTGACAGTATGCTCAGTCTCTAAAATTCCACTTCACTAATCCTTAATTCTTCCTGGAGTTTTATAGTTGACTCTGCTCATTAAATATTTTTCATGTTTTAAACTTCTATTTGAACATAGAAAGGAAATAGGATGTAAGGTAGACCAAGGGACTTTAAGTCTACAAACTTAGGTAAGGACTTGGACTTTAGCACAATGGTATATAAAAAAGCAAAATATCCTCTAAATGAGAACAAACAAGTTATTATTTACACTAGTTGATATAGGACCTCTGAGTCTTGAAAGTTTCCTACACCCAGACTATTTCCAAGATTCCCCAGGAGCCAGGTACCACAAATAGCAGATGATATTCATGTGCCTCAGTTTGGGCTGGACCTCAGGACTCACTCGTAATGAATACGGTGATTCAAAAGGGATGATACTTCACAGTCAAGATTAATTTGCAAACATACCATCTTTCTTGATCTATCTCACAGTCCTTCTCATTCTTTCTGAAGTTAAAGCAGTTTTCATGCTATGAATCTCCCTATGGTGTGGAGAGTAGGCTATGAGAAGCCTATGAGTACTTGTCATAAGCACAGTCATGCCTGCAGGCTGGGATTGGCACAGCCCCCATTGCAAAAGGGAGCAAGAGCAAAATGCAGCACATCCGCTTTTCATAAGATGTTTATGTGTAGAGATTAGTGATTACAGGTTCCCCCTGTTCCTGGTAACTACAATATCGCACACATGCACACAACACACACACACACACACACACACACACACACACACACACTGAAAACTGTTGCTCTACTTCATTTGCCGCTGTATATAATAAACTCACTGGAGGTGGTGGAGGCTGTTGTGTATCTCCACCAGAGCTCCCAGCCCACCTGATCCCCGCTTTTTGCATGTTTGTCTTTTGTCTTTTCTCAATCTCCTGTTGCTCCCAGTTAGGTTCCTAGGACGAGCTCATGCAGGCCAGGAGAGGTGGTGCCCAAACAGGGACCTAACTATGGAGGAACTTGAAGCCCAAGAAGAGGAGACACTCTCCAAGAATCATGCACATAATAAAAAACAAGTAATGGAAGGGGGAGAGTGAATTAAATACAGTCAGGTGTAAAAACATGGGACAGTACTAGTCTAAGAACTGAGGACTCTCTCTACAGGCTTTAAAAGCTATGCTAAAGATTAGAGGCAGCAGGGTCAGGTCACTTCAGCTTATGCAGTTTTTTGATTTTGTACAGGATACTTGCCCATGGTTTCCTGAGGAAGGCACTGTAAATTTAGAAACATGGAACAAGGTAGGTCACGGGCTGAGGACGTGCTATACAGCTGAAGGGCCAGAATGCATGCCCATTTTTACTTTCAGTTTGTGGTACATGATTAGAGATGCTTGGATCCCACTCTCTCACATGAACAAAGACTTTCCTCCTCAGTATCTGAGCTGGGATGTGGGATACACCCTTTGCAACCAGTCATACAGGATTGTGAGAGGCAGCATCCCTTGAAGGAACAGGATGCTGTGGGTGGTGGAGCCACTGAGCCATCAGCCCCACCTTATAGGGGTAAGTTTTCACATAACTAAAATTCAGTCCAAAAATGATTCTGAGTCTGATTCAGTGTCAGATGAGGAAGATCCTGAGGACCCTCTAGCCCACAAAGTACTGGGAACCATGCATTAGGGGTACTTCCATGAGCTAAGAGACTTTGT